CTCCCTCCTTCCCTCCTTCCTTCCCTCCATACCTCCATACCTCCTTCTCTCCATACCTGCAGTTCATTCTTTGCACTATTGACATTGATCGGTTTGGTTATTATTTTGTAACACGTTCCTCCTTTTTTGTTTTTGTAAAATAAGAAAGTCTATACACTGGGTAACTTTGTGCAAGTGGTTTATTTTTTAGTTTGTTTTATTTCAGCAATTGAAATGGGATGTCTTTTTTTTTTTAACTGTGGGAGAACTTAAATAAATGTTAAGATGGAACAGACCGTCCCCGTTTTGGCTGTGACATTAAAAGTGTGTGCAGTAAGTGCTGTGTATCCTGATCACTCAGTACTAACCCTCCGTAATTCAAAGGAGATGGAAGTGCTTTGAATGGCTCAAGGAAGGACATAAATTAGAGGTAGTGGGATCATATAGAGATTAGTTCATCCGATCATCCAGACTCAAAGATGATCTGCAGAGGAGGTGGAGAAGGCCTATACCTGGAAGCAGGTAACAGGCCTATGGAGTCGTGCTGAGGTAATACAAACAGAATCCTGCATTTCGACTGAAACCATGTTGAAAAAAGTGCTCAAGAATTGACACTTTACTCCCTAGTTTACCAGCTGTGATTTGCTGTTCTGTGGACCTCAGCTGTGCTGTAACCACTAAGGCCATGAACCCATGAGGGAGAGAGAGGGCAGCGTCTTCCTGCGATCAGCACATCGGGCCTTTTGTGAAGCAGCAACGAGCACAGAGGAGATACTCAGAGTATTTGAGGCTATGGGTGAGGTCTAAACTATTTACAGAGCCCTGGGCTGTGATTATTTGTGTGTTTTCAAACTTGATGAAGCCACAAGTCCTTCACACACCTCTGTGGCCGGCACCGAAGCCAGGCGCAGGCCACATTTCTCTTGAGAAGGCCTCACTGCGTCAGACCGRAGAGCTGGGCAATCTCATTACCCAAAGGAAATGAGGCACCCGAGTGCCCAGGGCTCAGCATGTGCCCCCCTGTTTGCCTCAGCAATACTGACAGTTATTAAATCAATTACTGAATAATTAAAGCAATTCTTTTACCATATAAGAAAGTACAGAAGGACTCCTCCTGATTCACTACCCAGACAGTGAATCATGACAGCCATAAGAAAGAAAGGAAGGTTCAGTGCCTGCTATCCATATCAGTTTATTTGCTGTATTTGAGAATATCCAAGAGGAAGGTTAGGATTGCACTGGACAGGACAGCTTTATAATAATAATAATAAACAAAAGTTTAATAAAAGGAGAGTTGTAGAAAAAAAAAAATGAAACCAAGCAGTGGAAAGTTCCTTGGCAATAGTGCCGTCCTTCAAGACAAGCCAGCGTATGGCCCTACAAGAGAGGGACACAGCAGAGTGCCAGTGCCATGTGTACCCAAACAAAAAGACATCACCAGAGCCAGATAGTGGAGTCTGGACTGAAGAGGCCCCACAGTTTCCTTCCCATGCTCCTAGCTGCCACTCGCCTTACCACCTAACACAGCCCTGCTCTACATTTGTTAGCAGGACAAGAACTGCTGAAGGGTCAGCCAAGGACAAGCAGCAGGACGAGCAGCAGATGGAGCAGCAGCCCAGCCGCAGGCCCGCCGCACAGCAGGCCAAGCCTCAAGCACACCAGTCCCCCAAATACTGCCCTTACAGGCACAGCGTAAGAATCCTGACACCAAGCCAAGTATTTGGAGATCCATTGTAAAGACAAGCCGCAGAAAGAGGGCTTTCCTCGACTCGGAATTGTGCAAGGGCCAAGCCTGGTGGAGAGGGAACCTCCGCGGCGGCCCCGGGCAGAGCCGAGCGGCTGCGCGGGGCTGGGGCAGTGGGCCCAGCTCCAGGAGCTGCGGCAGGCAGGGGCTGAGTGCAGCGTGAGCGCTGCTGGAAGCTGCTTTCTGAG